GTGCGCGTGTTCAGAACTGTTTAACGGCAGAAGCACAGTGCCGGAGGCATCACCCGTCTCCTTCGCAAGAAAAGCAGTTGTGAGTGTTGCTGTTTGTCAGGGCTTGCAGGTTTTTTGTTGTTGCCAGGTTTTGTTTTTCTGTTGGGGTTTGAAGGTTTTTTGTCGTTGTCAGGGCTTTGTTTTTTTGTTGTGGCTTCAGCGCGCTCTCCCTTTCTCTCTCGCCGGAAGACTTGCCTGGTCCCCGAGGCCCAGCTACTGGTGGATGTTGCGCTCGTCCACTACGCCCACCGCCGGCTGCGGAAACATCCTTGCCGGCGTCCTCATCGGACTATGGGCGGAGGCGCGGGTACTGGGACGCCAGAGAGGCGGCGCGTCCCGCCTGACTCTGAGACCTTGAGGTCTACAAACGCCAGACGTCCCGACATGGTGCCCTTCGCCAAGGATGCCCCGGTCATAGTGCCGCTCGGCAAGGCCGTCGCCGGCTGTGCTATATCCTGGGCGGGACATCGCCTTCTTCACCGCTGGTGGCGACTCGTCGGTGCCGAAGGCGGCGAGCCCTACGACCAAGAAGTGCGCGCCGGTCGTCAGTTCGTCGGCCACATCGGCTGGGCGCCTGCCGTCTTCTTCCTGTTCATCGAAAGCCTCGCCGTCAGGGGTGCGGTTTCAGCGTGCCTCCGCCCCTTTGCGGGCCTTCGACAGGCCAAACGTTGGGGGAAGCCTCAATCGTGCAGTCTTCTCCCTTCTCGCCTCTCCCCTTTCTCTTTCGGTTCCCTCTTCGGGTCAGACGTTCGGTTTAACTTGGCTCAAAGGCTCAAGGGCTCGAGCCAACCAGTATTATCATAGAGCCGCCCCGCGGTTCCTTCGCCGAACTGGTCGCCCTGGCGGACAAGGCGGGCCAGCCGCAGCACCTCCCCACCTTCGTGCGAGCCGGCTCCTTTGAGGGCGTACCCGCCGAGTTTGCTCGCGGTGCCGTCCCAGTCTCAGGCGGTATCGGCCTTGGCCATCGTGGCGGCCGGTCCGGAGCGTGCCGACCTGCCGCAGAGACGGATCGGCCACGCCAGGATGGCCCGGAAGGACCAGCGCCCCAGCAGCCTGCGGTAGGAAGCCCCCACGCAACAAGACGGGTCGATGAAGAGGGTCGTCAGGCCGGCAGCGTCCAAGACCGAGTTCAAGAAGGCACGGGCCCCATCCAGGTTCCTGCAGCGGCTGACCCGTTGGGGGAAGGTCCCGAGCCTCCGAGCCGGTTGCGCAGGGCCGGCGGTGGCGGGGGGGCGGGCCGTCCCTAAAAGGATCGGGACCTGATCAGTCGACGAAAAGAAAAGGTTCACGGCCGGACCCGCCGAGTGGAATTCCAACAGAGCGGCCTGGAGAGGCTGGCCGTATGGAGGGCCTCAGTTCTACCGCCTTTCGGATGTGGGGTGGTGCCGCAGGGGCCGCAGGTGTTTTCCTGACGGCGTGGCGGGGCTGGGCGAGGCTGAGCCTAGTTATGCTTCGTCCAAATCGCCCTCATCTCAGTCGGCCTCCGAGTCCGGGGGATGGACCGTGAGGAGAGGGCGGGATCTTGACGAAAAACCGAACTTGAGAGAGAGGGTTCGGCGGCCAACCGAGTGAAGTTGCATCGGTTGAGTGCGCTCGCTTCAGCACTGTTTTCTTCACGCCCCCCGCCTTCGCCCCACTCTTTGCGGTCCTCGTCAGGTCGGGCCGCCCTGGCATCCCACATTGTTGGCTCGCTGTGGGATGAGCTGGTGGCGCTGCATCGCCTGTCCGAGGTCGCTGTGACCTATACCTTCGCCTCAGGAACCTCGACTCGGTTCCTGAGTTCGGGGACGAGGAGTTCGGTCGTCGCTGCATTGCGCCGTGGATGCACGGCTTCGAGCCAGGGTGGGGAGGCTGGTTCATTTGCGCCCGCGCGCTCCGACAGTCCTGGCAATGTGGCGCCAGACCCGACAGCACGGCCTTCACGCTCGACCGGTGACTCTGACGAGGACCCACCATCGGCTGGAACACGCCAGGCTTCACACCTCCGTCGAGATCCCCATCGTCCCTTCGGGTGATTGGGTTGGGGGGCCCAGACTCGCCATCTCGGGCCGTTCTCGGGACGGGCGCAGAAGTGCACACCCCGGCACCGACACCGAGTTTTCGGGCGGTGTGCCCGGCCGGGCGCTGTCTGTGCTACCAGTACGACCAAAGAAAGGGGCCATTGCACCTTTAGTAAAAGTTTTGGCTAACGCGCCGTTAGCAAAGCACTTGTTTTTCGGCTGCCTCATGGAGGCGTTGGATTTTGTGCATGTCTGAAAGATGGTCTACTTCACAGGTAGGCTTGAGCAGACAGCTGGCAAAACAGGAGCCTTTGTCTATGCCCCTTTGATTGGCTTCATTCTTAGCCACTATGGCCCGGCAGCCGGATTCCTCATCTTCAGCGGTGCCGATCCTCAGATCCAGCACGGCATGAGAGATGCACAACTTGAGAAGTTGCATGGCTATGCTGTGCGATGCAGTGTATTCACAAACCACGACGACAGATGCAGTCCCGCTACGAACCCCGTGCTAGTTTCTGAGGTTGCCTGGATATTGACGGGTAAGACACATCGCTCAAGGTCCCAGGTGTTTGGCAAACGCTGGAAATCAGAGCATCATCTTGTTGTGGGAGGTTGGGCAGCGGACGAAGGTTGAACGTTTGGGGGGCATTTGTGAGCAGTTGCAAATTCCTGAAGCTCTGTCGCCCATGCACAAGGTGCTTATTTCATTATGGTCCACGTGCTCGGGTGTCCCGGCTGATGTCATGAGGTTCGTGCAATGTTTCGTTTGTGTGAGACATAGCATGTCCAGTGACTCTGCAGATCCAATGCAATCACATGTTCAAGTCTGCATCTGGTGTGCGAACATGAAACCCGCCTCGTTCGCAAGCAGCAAACCTGAACATCAGATAAGACAGCAGAGCGTCATTGGCCCAGGATCTTTGAGTTGGGCATGCTCCGGGGCAACTTCTGCATATGGGTGGCTTTTGCGCTCTTCGCACTTTGCCGGCCGCTGCTGTATGCTTCTGCAAATACCCTTTGCGGAGCCCATGGAGTTGTAGGGGATGCTCTCCACACGTTTCAGGCTTCATCCTGTTGGAACTGCAGTGGCACCCACTCGGGGCCAGAGACGGTTTAACTTGATTCCTGCAGTGTTCAGGGAGCTCGACGGGAACCTGATTCAACACATGGCGCGAGGATCTAGAATCTAGGACATTCTAGGATTCTAGGACACTCGGGCCATCACCATACTTGTCAAGATCTGTGAACAGACGCTCGGCCGCACACCCTTCACACACACAGGAGACCTCTTCGGCCACCGCCACCATGGGCAAATGTACGGCCTGGTCATGCCACTCGTTGACTTCTGAATTGCTTTCAAGTCGAAAGGCTCGGTTTGGGTAGGTGCAGGCACCTCGAAGTCAAGCTGTGAAGCCAGAGTTCTGCGACTGATTCACAGAGATGCCTCAGCCGTCAGAGTAGGCTCAAGATGCCCGCCGAGGACCTTGGGCGGCTTTTGCAGCTTGTGGATTCGTCCATTGGCGGGATTGGCAGCTTCACACAGCTTCCTGAAAGTTGACTATGGCCTGCTCGTGCTGCAGGCGGGGTGGAAGCGATAAAGATTGCTATCTTCTCCAAAGCCTTCAAGTTCAAGTCGCAGTGGGCTGTATACGTACCCCGTAGACATGAGCCATGTGCACGGAGGGAGAATTTTGCACCGAAATCAGCACTGACCACACTTCGGCATTTGGAACTTGATCATCTTGGATCTTGATAGGTCTTGCACGTCCGAGCTAGCCTGTCGCCCCGATCAAGCTTCGGTCAGTGTCCCGGGCCCGAGAAAAGGTCTTCGCAACTGCACTTCCACTTCGAGTTCTCTGGAATGTCTCCACTTTGGAGCATGCTTCCAAGGGCGAATATTCACCCGTCTCTCAGCGTGATCCGACACTGACTGAGAAGGAAGCATAAATTGCGAACATATGCCGAAAAAGCCGAACACGGGGCGGGACTTGACAGGCTTCCAGCACAGCATGTGTGCAGGCCAGAACTCGCTCATACACTCTGTGCTCTCTTGTTGCATTAGTTCGCTCATCCTTGCATGGACATCACCGGCAGCCCCACACGGTACCTTCAGCGCGCATATGATTCCTGAGATATACGATCGGTGGCAGGCAACAAGTGAAAGCCGAAGCGCGTTTGGAGAAGAAGAGGAGGTGAGATTGCGTTCTTAAGGCCAAAAAAATGAATCAGTACATTCAATTTACCGTTAGGTCTTAGAAATATTCAACTAGAATTTAGAAAGATTAGATTAATTACTCGAAGAAACTGGATTCTGTCAATTAAATCTATTTCGACATTCTTCTTCGATATCGGCTCTTTTTATTCTTGGGATAGAAAACCAATTTCTTCCAGGCTCTATAATCTGAATTCAGGGCGATATAGGTATTACTATTTTCAAATTAGGGGCGTCCCATTAATATAAGGCTCTGTTTTCTGAATTTATAGGGATAATAAAATTCTGACTTTAAGATTAGGGGCGCTCCATTAAAATTGATAAGAAAAATATTTTATTAATCTCAAAATATTTCCTCTGAATTGAGAATGCTCGTGGAGCTCCGATGACAAAATTAAGGTCGTCTTATTCGATTTCTATCTTCTGAGAATAAAATAACTTAGGAATTTATTGGTGGGGTTTTATAGTTAATGATATTTTCAGAAAGGCAATATTATTATCGGTGTCATTAATTATAAGATCCAAAATGAATTGAAATCTTTTTATAATATCTAATACGACACTAAAGTCTTTGATCGTCGAATCTTCTGCGATAAATATATATTAAGGCTCTGCAAAGATTGCGACGGTTCAAGGGATACTTAATAATTTTTTGACACTATTTTCTTGAGCTCCATTTAAGTCCTATATAAGCGGTCGTATTATTAATAATTCAAGAGCTCGCAATTATATATGATTTTCTTCTGGCGATGCTTCTACTTCGTATAAAATGCAGAAGCATTAATAGAATTTATATTTTCGAGATCAATCCAAATATTCCTCCGTCTTATGAATTCAAGATAATATATAGGCATTCTGATATTAATATCGGTAATAAAGAAATTCTGATATTAATTGATAATGTTCGGGACGTTCTGCTTCAGAAGCGACTTGAAATAGAAATGAATTTGAGATTTAATGTCCATCTGCTTCTATAAATAGATAACCATAATAAAGATATTGACAAAAAGATATTCATGCTAATAGATAAATGACGATATTAGAGATATATCTTAAGACATAAGAATTCCGAAATAGATCCAATATATCAAAAATGACGGAATTCTTGGCTTCATCGCGAAATGAATTCCGATCTTATTTAGAAAATCAATATATAATTTCAATTCCGACATAAATATATGGATCATCAGAAAGTTCTGGCAAAATTATATGAAATTATCAATAAATATAATCAGGTAAAAATCCTGGGAGTCAAAATATGATTTCACTATGACGACAGTCGACCCTTAATATACAACAATTCTCAATAAAGAATATATTTTTTTCTAGATTATACCATATTTGCTGTCAGAGACCGACCATATTCAAGACGCTATTATTTAATTTTATCATCAGGGGCGGCCGCGTCCCATCAATCTCAGATCTGCTGACTTCAAAGAGATATAGGAATTCTGATTTCAAAATCAGAAATACCTCATCAATCCCAAGCCGCATCTTTTGAATCCAAGACGATAGGAATTCTAATCATAGAATCAGTCTCTATCAGTCGCAGGTTCCATCTATCAGATTCAGGCTGATAAAAAATCCTTTATTTTACTATCAAGGACGTCCCAATAATCAGAGGCTCCGCCGACGAGATTCAACTTCATACGAATTCAAATTTCAAAAAAAAATTTCAATCAGAAAATTCTCATCAATCCCAGATTTCGAACAAAGATAATTTAGAGACGTAATAATTCCTCTTATAATATTAGGGGCGCCCGAATCACTCCCAGACTCCATTCTCTGAATTGAAGGTAATATTAGAATTCTCATTTTAAAATCAATAGCCAGGGGCGCCCCATCAATCTAAGCCTCAATTCTCTAAATTCAAGAAGATTTCAGAATTCTTATTTTGAGAATTCAAAATCCCTCCAATTTTTTAGATTCTACCGGCTAAATTCAAGATAAAAAGAGATCCCACCAATCTCAAAGTACGTCCTATCAATTCACGGTAATAAGAACTCTAATTTTGGGAATCCAAAGCGCCATCAATATATAACTCCATCTTCTGGGTTCAAGATAGTAAGAATTCTACTATAAATCAAGAATTATCTTCAAAATTCAATATTCTAATTACCTCCTAATTCGTTTCAAGTTGTTATTTAATTGTTATTTAATTTCGATATAGTACAGATTAATAAAATCTTATCAATCTCTAAAATCTTTCGTATAATAATTCCCTCAATTCAAGGTTCTATTTTCGAAAATTCGAAATATCAGAGAATTGAATTTTAAAATCAAAAATACTCCCTAATCGAATCTATACTTCAACGAATTCCGAATTATTTAGATATCAAACATATTTTTCAATTTCAAATTATAGCCGAAAGTAATCGAATATATATATTTCAATTAATTCGAACGACCTCAAATATATTTATAATATCAAATTAAAATAAAATCGAATTCAAATTTCAATATATTCCAATACCGAATTTCGAAATCAAATTTCATTCCACCCGACCTCAAATTTCAACGAAATAGAGTACCGAATTTACACTCCCTTATATACGAACAAACATATAAAAACAATAGTAATAATATATCATAGTCACTTATATATTACCTAATCGATTTAAAAATACAAAACGGGACACTGTGAGAG